ACCGTTCGAGATGTTGTATGGGCGGAAGTGCAGAACCCCGATATGTTGGGGGAGGTTGGCCAGAGAGTCATGGGAAGCACCGAGGTGGTGCTAGAGACGACCGAGAGGATCCAGCAGGTTCGGAGCAGACTTCAGACTGCACAGAGTCGGCAGAAAAGCTACGCCGATAGACGTCGATCCGACTTGGAGTTCCAAGTCGGGGATATGGTCCTCCTGAAAGTGTCGCCTTGGAAAGGTGTCATTCGATTCAGGAAGCGGGGCAAGTTGGGCCCAAGGTTCATCGGGCCGTTCAGGGTTGCAGCCCGGGTGGGCAAGGTGGCGTATAGGCTGGATCTGCCAGCCGAGCTCAGTCAGATCCACAGCACCTTCCATGTTTCGCAGCTGCGGAAGTGCCTGGTGGACGATTCAGCAGTAGTACCGTTGGAGGATATTCAGGTTGATGACAGCTTGAATTACATTGAGCGCCCAGTCGCAATACTTGACAGAAAGACCAAGACGTTGAGAAACAAGAGGGTAGAACTAGTAAAGGTGCAATGGCAGCACCGCAAGGGTTCGGAATGGACTTGGGAACCGATGGACGAGATGATGGAGCATTACCCCGAGCTGTTTCAGGACCGGGCAGCAGACTTCGAGGACGAAGTCTAAAATAAGTGGGGGAGATTTGTAGCACCTGGTTTCCGGTATGTGAATTTTATTTGAGCATTGCCCTATTTTAGCCTTGGACTCGGCGAGTCATAAGGTCCGACTCGCCGAGTAGGGACGAGACTCAGGACACGTTTAAGTGGGCGACTCGGCGAGTCCATATCCTGGACTCGGCGAGTCACCGCTGCTGGATGAAACCCTAAGTTTCAAGGGTTTGCACCCTATTTAAACCCTCATTCCGCCCCAACTCGTCCCCATTCACCCCCAGAACTCCCCCAACATCGTTTTCCCTTATTTCCTTGAGAGATTGAAGTGTTCTTGGTGTGTTCTTGAAGGTTTTGAGGAGAAAGAGGAGTAGATCAAGAAGAGGAGAAGGAGATCAGCCATCTTTGTGTCATTTCAACATTTTCCTTGAGGTATATCTCGTTTTTCCCCTGTTTCTATGCTTAAGATTTCATTTGAGACACTCTTGAGCAATTCTTCAAGCTTGTTTGTGCTTAATGTTTCGTAATAAGTGGATTAACCTTTAGATCTAGGCAAGATTGAGCTCCAGGAGCTCAGATCTGTTAGCTTTATGGCCCCATGTGGCTTGTTCATCCTAGATCTACCCTTTTGAGGCATTTTGCACCCTAAAATCCACATTAGTGAATATCCACACGTAAAGTTGGAAACTTTACGTGTGATTTGTGTCCTAGAAGTCCAGATCTATGAATGGCATGGACTGAAATCGAGTAAATCGGTGTATTTGGTGGATGCATGGCGGCGACTCGGCGAGTCGTATTGGCGACTCGGCGAGTCTGGTCGCGAGTCACCGATTTGGTCCCTTCATGATGTATCGAGTTGAGCCGTGAGTCACAGGGGGTGACTCGGTGAGTTGGGAGCTGAACTCACCCATGTTAGGACTCGGCGAGTCAATGCCCTGACTCGGCGAGTCCAAGGCAATCTTCATAGATCAAGAACAGACTCGGCGAGTTGTTCATACAACTCGGCGAGTCTTAGCATAAAGTGTTCTTCGGATGAAGATGAACTCGACGAGTTGTTCATACAACTCGGCGAGTAGGATGAAGGAGTTGAATGACAGTTAGAAGATGAACTCGTCGAGTCATAGCCCAACTCGACGAGTAGAACCAGGGACCCAGGACAATAGTTTGCTAGGGACTCGGCGAGTGGAGATCCACTCGGCGAGTCGGGTCAACTGAAAGTTGACTCTAGTATTGGCTTAGAGCTAGACCGGGGGTAAAATGGTCATTTTACCTAAAGGACAGTTAGCAGTGTTTGATTGAGTATGTTGTGGGAATTGCATCCGGAGGACTCCCGGAGCAGCAGCAGTCAGTTAGTTTCCGATCAGTTCAGCAGCTACTTTGAGGTGAGTTACCTTCCAGTAGCGGTGGGTCTAAGGCCACAATGCCGGCCCACCAGTAGGAGACGTATGATAGATGATTGTCTTTGTGAAATCATCTAGGTTTGCTATTACCTGTTATGTTATATGCTATCATGATACGTTATATGCAATAGTAGTAGAGTTCGGTTGTTAGGACCGCTGGGTAGTCAGACACCCCAGAATTATCTGACTGTATGTGATGGTATGCTTGTATGTTGGTCTGTTATGTTATGCGATAGAGGTAGCGGGAGGGGACCAGTCCCCGAGAATCGGTTGTTAGGACCGATGGGTAGTCAGCACCCCAGAATGGCTTGACACGGGTAAGACGGCACCCCAGAATGGCCGTATGGGTAGGTCGGCACCCCAGAATGGCCGTACCGGGTAGTCAGGCACCCCAGAATAGCCTGGCAGTACATATGTTATGTGTTTGTATGGTATGTGGTACGTTGGGGGAACTCACTAAGCTTTGTGCTTACGTTTACAGTTTTGTTTTCAGGTACCTTTGCACCGAAGGGGAAGGAGCCGGCGCGGTAGCGGAACGTCATACACACACTCTTCGGTTTCCGCATTTACGAGATTTACTGGGATTGTACTCTGATATTTTGATGGGATGTATGGTTTGACCTTTTGGAACATGGTTGCAATGTGTTATGGTGTGATCAAACAATGTTTTTATTTATTAATGTTTTCTAAAGTAATATTTTAAAATGAAATTTTCGGACGTAAAAATTGGGTCGTTACATTTTGTCCATATTTTTCCATTGAATTTGTTGAACTGTTCAAAAAACATCCTTATAACCTACTATTGGAGGTTTAGCTGGTTTCCAATGTATTAGACAACTCCGACGAAGCACCGATCATCTTCTCCAACAAGCCTTCGGCGTTCATGATTTTTTAGGCGAAGATGAAAAAACATACATAAACATAATATTTGTTTCAAATTCAAGGTTTTTATTATCTCACTTTCTTTTTTCTCATGAACTCAAGAACTCCAATAAACATCAGATTTATTCTCTTTTCTCATGAGAATGAACACATAACAGATCTGAAAATCGGCTTTAAAAAGGAGAGAAGAGAGAAGTGTATGTGTGTTGTTCCAAAATCGACCATGAACACATACACAGATCTGAAAATCGCTCAAAAGCTTGAAGACCATTTGATTTCAGATCTAATATTTGAGCATGAACACATACATACAAACATTTTTGGAGCTCGTATGATTTTTAGGAAGAATATGAACACGATGAAGGAGATGGGTGGTGCTCCATGTTTGATTTTTTGTACATGTTTGCATAAAGGGTGTGTTTGTGCATATACATGTGTTTGAAGAAGAAACCCAAAAAAAAACACGGACACACACTCATCGTTTTTTTGTGTTTCTTTTATGGATGAACACGATTTTTGGGTTCATCACAATTTCTGAATTCATCATGATATATGATGAACATAACACGAATCGAGTTTTGATTTTCATCACAGTTATTTGTCTCAGATCTGATGCCTAAATAGATTTCAAAAATCTAGATGTGTTCTTAATCTGAAAATCAAAATATGAATGTGATTTGTGTTCGAGATCTGAAAATCAAAAGCTTGCTTAAGTGTGTTACAACTTATCGAGAAAAAAAAAAAACAACATTGTTGGCTGAAGAAGATGATTCGAGCGTCACCAGAACTGTCAAATATGTCGGAAACTAGCTAAACCTCTGATAACAGGTTATAAAGATGTTTTTTGAATAGTTCAACAAGTTTAATAAAAAATATAGATTAAAAAAATGATTAAATATGTGCGAATCAAAAAAATATTTTACCACTTTTAAATCATTATCCATTATATTTATGTTTCAATACATTATGCACTATGTTGAACACCCCTAAAATTGTTTGACTTTAGTTTATGCACTATTATTTGCGTCTCGATTCACGTAAAAATAGGTGTAATTAGTATTTATGTTTTAATTTAATTTAATTCCATTAATTTTAGAAGATTTAAATATTTTACTTTATCATTTTTTTAACATGTCTATAAAATATATTGTATTAATTCTAGGTTACTTTTAATTTTAATTATATGAATCGCACCATTATTTCATAAGATTTTTTTTTTCTCTTCAAAATCTTGACTTTAATGCTACCATCTAATCTATTAAAAACTCAAATAAGGTAGTAGCTATGAGAAGTGAAAAACCTTTAAATTTCAAACGAGAAACTATTTTTTTCACAATTTAAAACCTTTAATATATCCATTTGAAGATATGAACGAACACATATTTTTCACATTTAAAAGCTTTAATAATTAATATATGCATATGAAGATACAGACGAAGGCTGTGTAATTAAACTAGACATACGGATATGAATCTTGGATTCGTCACAAGTTTTTATAGGATTAAAACTACGTTTAAGACTTCTAACGGAAACTTTTGTTAAAAACCAGGGACAATAGTATCGAATCATAATTAAAAACTACCTTTAATGAATAGTTAAAAACTAAGGACAAATTTGTCTCATCTAATTTGTATTAAATCATAGTTTAAAATCTTCATTTGTTAATTCCAATTACACAAAATAATCATTATAACTAAAATCACCATCAGTTATTTTTGACAAACATACTCATATTTTACTTTCTTTTCATTTGTATAGAATAGTATTTTCAAAATTTTCTTCTCAGGGCATTATAATTCAGAAAGTATACACCATTTTTTTTTCTTATCAATATATTATATTTTAGAACTAAACTTAATTATTAGAAACTATTTATAGTTCTTAGATATAATTAAGTATATTTTTAGAGTACAAGATTACTATAAGAATAAACTAAAACTAATATAATAAACAAAACTTATTGTATTTAACCCGAAACAACGTATTTAAGTTTGTATAACACTAATAATAATTTTTTTTTTTTTTTTTGTAACATTTAAAATAAAAGATATGGAGTATCTAAAATTATGGACTACTCAGAATTTATGAATTTTGAGAGTGGAAACCGGAAAAGGAGTTAGCCAATGTTGAAGTATTATTTGTGAGGAAAATGACAAAAAAGCCCATCCCTTCAACACCAAAGTGGTCCTATTCCATTAATACAATTGATACCCAATTCTTATCCTTCACTACCCCTCTCACTTTTCCTCTGCTTATTCCACACACCCTCTTCTCTCTTTCCCTTCTCTTTCACCTCTCCAAAAACCCATCAACCAACAACTCTCAGGTACAACAATTAAAGCAACAGGTACAACCATGTCATCATCAAAAGCATGGAGCAAAGAAGAAGATAAGGCATTCGAGAATGCCATTGCCAACCACTGGACTCACGATTCCAAAGAACAATGGGATACAATTGCTTCACTTATCCCCACCAAAACCATTCCAGAGTTGAAACAACACTATCGATTACTCGTTGAAGATGTTGATGACATTGAAGCCGGAGTGATTCCAATTCCGAAGTACCTCGGAGAGGAATCCTCTTCCTCTTCCACCAAGGAAAACAACCACCACGGGGGGTCGACTTCCAATCGTCGTTCCTCTTGCAATTACACCAACGGGTTTTCCGGGTTCGGTCATGATTCCAATTCCGCCGGACAAAGCAGCGGAAAAGCAAATTCCAGGGCAGAACAAGAACGTCGGAAAGGAATTCCATGGACCGAAGAAGAGCATAGGTATGTCGCCACCATAACTGTCCACCTTTCTCTTATTCAATTACAATGAAGGAATCGTTTCCATTTTCAGTATCGACGAAGGATTCATTAATTCTTTATTACTTAAAAGTACGTTTCCTGATTACGAAATCATTACAGAATTTATGTTTATAGACAGTACCACTTGTGGTTGATTGATTGACCATTGGAAAACGCAATTGTCAGAAAAAACCAATTATTGTTGCAATATCCTTGTACAACTCATGTTGCGTAATGTACAATAAACCACAGCTTAGCCCTAGAACGTTTCACAGTTGTTCCACTACAATATACTAGCACGAATTGTCGAAGTCACACTCTCAATTGGTTCGAGTACAATATACTAGCTAGAATAATCGAGTCAGATAGCTTTACATCTCACACTGTTATTATGACAACACCAATAACAGTCTATTATGTCGAGTCAGACAGTCTGTTGTATATCTGCTTTACATTTCATAATGATATTATGACAACACTAATAAGAGTCTATTATGTCATTTGGGATTGGTACAAGTTCTAATGCATATGGTACAAATGTAGGTTATTTTTATTGGGATTGGACAAATTTGGGAAAGGAGATTGGAGAAGTATTTCAAGAAACTATGTGATATCAAGAACACCAACACAAGTAGCAAGTCATGCACAAAAATACTTCATAAGATTAAACTCCATGAATAGAGACAGAAGGCGAACGAGCATTCACGACATCACAAGTGTCAACAATGGTGACGTGTCATCATCGCATCAAATCCCAATCACGGGAAGCACCAACCCGTCTAGCGGCCCATCCGTTGGAGCACCCATGAAACACAGACCGCACCACCCAGTGCCGCCAGGGATGGGGATGTACGGGGCACCAATGGGCCACCCTGTCGCCGCCGCTCCCGGCCATATGCCGTCGGGCAGTTGGAACTCCGGTGATGATGCCGCACAGCCACCACCACCACCCGCCATATGTTATGCCGGTTGCGTACCCGATGGCTCCACCTCCGGCTATGCATCAATAGGATTGAAATCCGGCGAGTTTTTTTTTTTTTTTTTTTTTTTTTTTTTTTTTGAATTTTGAATTTGATGGAATAACTCTTCCTAGTCATAGTGCTAGAATTTGACAAAAAAGTAGGACCACAGCAACTTTTTTCAATGATGAATTTCTCTGTTGGTTTAAAGAATTTTCACCAACTGTTTGTACATTTTTTTTCTCTTGAAGAATAATTCAATGATGAGTTGTACGTCATGTAATGAAAGGTGTACCTCATGCTATGATGGTTGTACGTTAGGAGGGGGGACAGGGGAGATATAGAAAAGCAATCTAATGGTGGTTTCTCTTCCAACTTTCTGAGGTCCAAAATGTGACACAGAGATGAAGTTAAGCTGTCAAACATCATTGTCTGTTGATGTCAAAAAGATAACAAAAAACATCATGATAATATCTTTTCTTAAAACTAAAAACTTCAGTCATAATTCCCCTCAAAAAAAAAACTATCTAGCTAGAAATTAAGGTAGTACAAA